CACCGCAGGCGGGGGGAGAGGAGGGACCCTGCCCCCAGCCGGAGTGGGGGCCCTGGGGGCTCAGCTGGGAGCAGGGGCAGGGAAGCTGCTTTGTAATGGAGGGGATGTGGTGCTGGGAGGCAGAGCCAAGGAGGCCTGCACAGCGCCAGGTCAGGGAAGCAGAGCTAAGGGAGTTGAAGCACTAGGGCAGAGTTAAGGGGATGTGGTGCTGGGAGGCAGAGCCAAGGAGGCCTGCACAGCGCCAGGTCAGGGAAGCAGAGCTAAGGGAGTTGAAGCACTAGGGCAGAGTTAAGGGGATGTGGTGCTGGGAGGCAGAGCCAAGGAGGCCTGCACAGCGCCAGGTCAGGGAAGCAGAGCTAAGGGAGTTGAAGCACTAGGGCAGAGTTAAGGGGATGTGGTGCTGGGAGGCAGAGCCAAGGAGGCCTGCACAGCGCCAGGTCAGGGAAGCAGAGCTAAGGGAGTTGAAGCACTAGGGCAGAGTTAAGGGGATGTGGTGCTGGGAGGCAGAGCCAAGGAGGCCTGCACAGCGCCAGGTCAGGGAAGCAGAGCTAAGGGAGTTGAAGCACTAGGGCAGAGTTAAGGGGATGTGGTGCTGGGAGGCAGAGCCAAGGAGGCCTGCACAGCGCCAGGTCAGGGAAGCAGAGCTAAGGGAGTTGAAGCACTAGGGCAGAGTTAAGGGGATGTGGTGCTGGGAGGCAGAGCCAAGGAGGCCTGCACAGCGCCAGGTCAGGGAAGCAGAGCTAAGGGAGTTGAAGCACTAGGGCAGAGTTAAGGGGATGTGGTGCTGGGAGGCAGAGCCAAGGAGGCCTGCACAGCGCCAGGTCAGGGAAGCAGAGCTAAGGGAGTTGAAGCACTAGGGCAGAGTTAAGGGGATGTGGTGCTGGGAGGCAGAGCCAAGGAGGCCTGCACAGCGCCAGGTCAGGGAAGCAGAGCTAAGGGAGTTGAAGCACTAGGGCAGAGTTAAGGGGATGTGGTGCTGGGAGGCAGAGCCAAGGAGGCCTGCACAGCGCCAGGTCAGGGAAGCAGAGCTAAGGGAGTTGAAGCACTAGGGCAGAGTTAAGGGGATGTGGTGCTGGGAGGCAGAGCCAAGGAGGCCTGCACAGCGCCAGGTCAGGGAAGCAGAGCTAAGGGAGTTGAAGCACTAGGGCAGAGTTAAGGGGATGTGGTGCTGGGAGGCAGAGCCAAGGAGGCCTGCACAGCGCCAGGTCAGGGAAGCAGAGCTAAGGGAGTTGAAGCACTAGGGCAGAGTTAAGGGGATGTGGTGCTGGGAGGCAGAGCCAAGGAGGCCTGCACAGCGCCAGGTCAGGGAAGCAGAGCTAAGGGAGTTGAAGCACTAGGGCAGAGTTAAGGGGATGTGGTGCTGGGAGGCAGAGCCAAGGAGGCCTGCACAGCGCCAGGTCAGGGAAGCAGAGCTAAGGGAGTTGAAGCACTAGGGCAGAGTTAAGGGGATGTGGTGCTGGGAGGCAGAGCCAAGGAGGCCTGCACAGCGCCAGGTCAGGGAAGCAGAGCTAAGGGAGTTGAAGCACTAGGGCAGAGTTAAGGGGATGTGGTGCTGGGAGGCAGAGCCAAGGAGGCCTGCACAGCGCCAGGTCAGGGAAGCAGAGCTAAGGGAGTTGAAGCACTAGGGCAGAGTTAAGGGGATGTGGTGCTGGGAGGCAGAGCCAAGGAGGCCTGCACAGCGCCAGGTCAGGGAAGCAGAGCTAAGGGAGTTGAAGCACTAGGGCAGAGTTAAGGGGATGTGGTGCTGGGAGGCAGAGCCAAGGAGGCCTGCACAGCGCCAGGTCAGGGAAGCAGAGCTAAGGGAGTTGAAGCACTAGGGCAGAGTTAAGGGGATGTGGTGCTGGGAGGCAGAGCCAAGGAGGCCTGCACAGCGCCAGGTCAGGGAAGCAGAGCTAAGGGAGTTGAAGCACTAGGGCAGAGTTAAGGGGATGTGGTGCTGGGAGGCAGAGCCAAGGAGGCCTGCACAGCGCCAGGACAGGGAAGCAGAGCTAAGGGAGATGAAGCACTAGGGCAGAGTTAAGGGGATGTGGTGCTAAGGAGACCTGCACAGAACAAGACTGGCAGCCAAGATGCTCAGCGCGCAATGAGCCCCACGCAGGTGTCCCTGGCCAGACACCTGGATCTCAGGTGTCCTCCCAAGATGAGCTGCCCAGCTCGGACTGAGAGGCACCCTACGAGGCAGGGTCTGCCCCTGCCACCAGCGGCTGGTTCAAGGCTCCCGCCCCCGCCCGGCAGATGTGG